TATCTCATCATCTACATATTATCATTTTAAATAAAAAGCAATATTAGTGAAAAAAAAAGAAAGAACAGAGCTCTGGGAAGGGCTCAAATAAATAGAGGCTGGTCCCACCCAACAGTAACAATAAGGCAGAGCCACTGCCAAGAAGGGCATGGACAAGAGTATGGCCCGGAGGAACATAGTGGTCTCAAGCGTAGAGGATACTCAGCCCTGCCAATGATGTCTCCTCAAGCAGAATCACGGTGTCTTCCACCAGATAAGCCCAAGTTCCTGTAGCTGAGTCATGCCCAACACTGAGCAAGGCATAGGGAATTGGTGGGATGGAGGCTGCCCTGATAGAGGATCTACTTCCTTGATGGATTTCCCCCAGGCTCACTTGATCCCCCTGGCCTACAGAGACAGGAGGGCAAGGACATCCCTTTGGAAACGTTGATGGCAAAAGACTAAAGACCACTATGCCCACCTCTAAGGGACAGTGACAGAAATTGTAGAGGAGGGCTCATTCTGTGGACAAATAACAAAAGGTCAACCTAGACAACAGCCACACTGGAGACTGCCTCAATGTGCTTGGTGGAAAGGGTTCGGCAGCAGCTACTATGGCAGCGAACAGAGCCCACCTCACAGCTGTGGAGACCACCACGCGAGCGCTTCTGTTGAGGCGGAACCAGTTTACACTCTCCTAGAAATGTGCAGGGTGGTTTGAAAGGGGAGCTAAAATGTGGGGTCTAGCCCTCTGCATCTGCTGCCCTCCCCCAGAAGTTTCTCAGGGTAATAGCAGGAAGCACTCCCTTGTAATTTTATATGATTCTTCAAAGAGTGGGGAAGTTTCCTTTTTTATTTTTAATTATTCCTCTTAGGCAAGAAATTGGACGTACAAAGATGTGTAAGTACTCTGGCCTGGAGCTCACCCTTCACCCAGGGACTGAGAGTCTTCTAGCTTTTCTAGCTTCAAGACTCAGGTCCTTCCACAAAACCTTTGCAGTGATCTATGTCCCTGGCCTTCTTTGTTTTCATTGTGCTTTAGTTTTGACACAGGGTCCTTAAATTGCCCAGGCTGGGCTCGAACTTTCAGTCATCAGTCTCTCTCCTGCTTCAAGTCTTCCGGATCCTCTCAGAATTATTGAGCTCCTGAGCCTTTCTCTAGCTACAGTTCTCAGGTCCCTGAAATACCAGGCATGGGTGGGGCATACAGAGCAGGGGCCTGTGGCACAAATATGGGGCAGAGTCCACGCAGAAAAGGATATAAACCTCTAGGAAAACCCTTCAGGCCATGTCCCCAGCAAGGAGCCAGCTGTAGCTTTATAGAGGACCGGAGGCCTTGTAGCTTTATAGAGGACTGGAGGCCTTGTAGCTTTATAGAGGACTGGAGGCCTTGTAGCTTTATAGAGGACTGGAGGCCTTGTAGCTTTATAGAGGACTGGAGGCCTTGTAGCTTTATAGAGGACTGGAGGCCTTGTAGCTTTATAGAGGACTGGAGGCCTTGTAGCTTTATAGAGGACCGGAGGCCTTGCCCTACCCTCCCTGCTCACCAGACTGATTTCCCTCTGTCACTCACACAGAGCCCCTGGGAGCAATGCCAACACCAAATCCTCTGGGATCCAGCACTGACCTTAGGTCTGGACAGCCACAGATAGCAGAACACACCAGCCAAAGACCAGACCTCAGAGAGGTCCTGGCACGTCTACTGAGCACATCAGTGCAAGTAAGGCCGCAGGGCAACCCGTCCTACAGCACCAGTGCAGGAGCCAGGGCGAGAGTCAGAGGCTCATCGCTGCACAGAAGGATAAGGAGGGCACCCCAGTTTACTCGGAAAGGTCTCTATTCCTCCCCAGTTGTGCCACCCAAATGGGTCCAAGCTCTTCGGGTCTAGGTTCATCCCTCCCACCAGGATGCAGGGGCCAATATCCAGCGAAAGCGCAGGGTCTTGTCCATGAAGGTTCCACTCTAGGCTGAGGCAGCCCTGTGGCTCTCAGTGACTGATGAGAAGTAGAGGTAGAAATGAGAGCCCTGTGGACCAGACATCGCTGTTGGCAGTGTTCTCGGCCCACTGGATGCTGAGTGTCCCAGAGTGTGTACAGCAGCACACCAGCTCCTGTGCCAAGATGGAAATGTCTCACTGCCTGTCTATGCATATTCCCCTGGATGTAAGCGTATAATGGTGAACACAAACTGGGTTTGTGTGCAGGTATGCTCGCTGCTGTACTTGTCTGCGTCTCTAGCATCTGTGTGTATGGGGTTCTGTCCCTTGTCCCTCAGGCCCATCCATTGGTCCTGTCCATTGAGTTCTCACGCATGCTTCCCAGCACACCCACACACCACCTGTACTGTAGCAAGGACAGTGTGGTCTCCGATGTACTCACTGTCTGCTGTCTCAGCTCTCCACTCCCCACCAGGACCCAAGCCCACACCCACACCCAGGCTCAGATCCAGGGACTCAGGACTCAAAAGTGACTTTATTTCTTGGTAAACAGATGCCTTTTGGGCTAGACCACTGGGTAGCACCTGGCTCAGCCTCACTTCCCCCCAAGGATGTGGGGACTCCAGCCCATTGTTCTCATTCCCTGGCCTCCTCCCTGGACATCTTGGAGAAGTCTAGCTGCCTAGGATGTTGTACTGGTAGATAGGCAGTGAGGTCACATCTAGGGAAGCTCAGACCCCAATGCTGGCAACCCTGCTAAGGCCTCCACCAAGGCAGGCAGGGAGGGGCAGTGTCTGGCTCAGGGACAATCTTCAAACTCCTTGAGAGGGCAGGGCTCAGGGTTTGGCCCAGAGCAAGGCAGACCCCAAGCTGAGCAGGAGTCCTGCAGCCAGGGCCCAGGTGCTGTGCCCCACCTCGGCAGCCACCCCATTGCAAAAGTCCTTCTCGCAGCACTCTACATCCATTTTGAGGATCCCAGAGTTAATGAACGCCATCACATAGTCTGAGAAAAAGTGCCGCTTGATGTAGTCACAGGAGGCAGCGCACATCTTGTTCACAGGATGATACTGCCTGCCTGGGGGAGAGGGAGAGTGAAGCTCTACCAGGCCTGTGCTTCCCCCACCCCATACCCAGGTCCCTCTAGGTCAGTTGGGACCAAAATCAGCAGAACCAAGGCCCTCAACCCATCAAAGCTGGGGACAGCATGGAAAAGCCATCAAGAAGTCAGGGAAGGACAAGTTGGCAGTGTCCTGCCCCCACATCCATGCTCCTGTGGCAAGCCTAGAGGGCCAGAGAACACCTCTGATCTCTCCACAAGAGTTTGTCTCTTAACAACCATCCAGAATCTGTCTCTCAGCAGCCCCCACCCATCCAGGCTCCAACTTACTGCTACTAGGGTCCGTGATCTGGATGCTGACACACACAGTTTCTGACGGCTGGCACTCCTTCGAGGTACAGTGGCTGGAGTTGGCGGTACAGTCCTGGCACCACAGGCCATGAGCTGGGCAGGGCATGGGATGGGGATGACCAGAGGGACTGGTCAGGAGTCCCTGCCTGCTGCAAGGGTCTTGGCAGAACCATGCTTAGAGGAGCCAGGAGGCGCAGGCCCCCTGCACCTTAAGCACACCCCCACTGTGGATGGGTTCCAAGCTACAAAGGGCAGGCTTATTAGGAGCGAAGTAGCAAGGAGCATCCACACTGGACCAAAAGCCTGAGGAAAGGCGGTCATGCCTCAGGTGCCCAGAGAGATCCCCATGCCCAGAGCTGGCAAGGACTGAGTGAGGGTCACAGGAAGGGGGTGGGAGGGAGGCAGACTTTATGGAACAGGGGAAGAATGGCCCCCACAGCAACGTCCTCTCCCTGCACCCCCAACTCACCTGGAATGGGGCACAGCAGCAGGGTCAGTATCACCAACCCAACACCCCTCATGGCTGGAAGCAGCATGCTCCAGGCTAGTCTGGGGGAGGCACGGGTGCTGTGGGCAGAGGTCCTCTGGGGAGCAGGCCTGGTGGAGAGAAGTCCTGGTCAGGAGATCCAATCCTTGGCAGAGCCCAAGGATCCTCCCCTTTTCTGGCTCGGGACCCGACCTCCTCCTAAGAACTGGAAGGCTGGGTCAGGCAGGAGCCGGCAGAGCCCCACCCCACCCATCTCCCTGAGCGTCAACCATCACAGCATCCCCACGGGGAGAAAAAGGTCTGCCCTTCCCAGCGAGCTGTCAGTCCGGCTGCCCCCACCCCTCATCCAGCACCTGTGGGGGTTGGGGGTGTCTTGTCCTCCCTGGGAAGCTGTAGGTGAGTCCAGACAGGAACGAAAGGAGGAGGAAAAAGAGGAGGGAGAGGGCTGCACCTGCTGCAGGGAGAAGGGTGCATGCCATATCCCCACACCCACCCTACACCCACGCTTACCCCTACCCGTACCCCATCCTCATTCCCCTCACCCCTGGGCTGGGCAGCCGGGAACCCCGCGCCGAGCGCCCCCTGCGCGCGAGCCTCCGCGCTCACCGCGGATGGGGCGCAGAGTGGAAGCCTCAGGGTCAGGGGGCGCACTCACATCCCTGGAGTGTCCGCACTCTGGGCTCAGGTGGTGTGCAAGGCTCGAGGAGCAGTGCCCTTCGGTCTCCCTGCGGACAGAAATCCGGGCGCAGCCTCGTCTTTCGGGGAACGCAGCCGCAGACGCGGACCCTGCTCGAGGGGCGGGGCGGAGCCGAGCTGGGGCGGGGGCCGAGCGGGGAAATGAGCGGAGCTGGAGAGCGCCCGGGGCTCACCGCCCCTCAGGTCACTGCCCCCGGCCTCGCTGCACCCCTTGTCCACTCGTGCGCGCGCCTCCTCAGGCTCGCGCTCCTGCCGCCTCCCCCGCGCTACACACACACACACACACACACACACACACACACACACACACACCACCCTATCTCGCACCTCCCCATGACCGCGGGGGACAGGACCCCTACCCTCTCCGGCTGGCTGAGGTCTCCTTGGAAATTCTCTGAAGAACGTTTCAAGGGAGGAGGAGTGGGAGAGCCTCACAAAGATCCGGGGAGGGAGGGTGGGAGAGGAGGACCGGCTTCGGTCAGGGTTCGCCGCTGCCCTCCCGCTTGGACTCCCGACCTTGGGACCCCTCCTTCCCCAGTCTCACCCTCCCTTCCCATTGTCAGGCAGTCCTCCTCTTGAAAGCAACAGAGATGACACCTACAATCAGTCACTGCCCCAGGGACTCCTGTCACCAGCCACATTCACACCTGAAGAGAAGAAACCTGAGGACGGGTCCTGGGGCTTCTGGCTAGGTCAGTCCTCTTTCACCTTCTCTTCAGTCTGTGCTTCCGAAGTCCACTGGGTAAGCCTCAAGCGGCCATTGGACCTCTTTCTCCTGCGTTCGTTCATCTGGCCATACTAGGCACCACTGTTGACCTGGTGCTGCCCTGAGCTCTGGAGGGCTGTTAGAAACAAAGGTTTCTGGCCTCCTGAATCTTACACGGTGCAAATGACTTTTCACTTATACCTCTTTGCAAGATGTGACAAGCAAAGCTGACATTTACTAAGCACATACTATGTGTTCCACCTGTTCATCACATATATTATCTCAGTCCCGTCTCACACAGTCCCTGGTGTGCAGGGTTTGATCATCGTTGGCTCTGAGGATTAAGGACAACATGCACAAAGAGGGTCCACTCCCTTCTCAGGCTACTGGGCTCCATCCTCTGTACACCTCACTCCTCCTCTGTGTGACTTCAGGAGAGTAAAGGCAAAGGGAGGCATTAAGGGAACTTTGGTTTGCATTAGTGTGAGGAAGACTTCTTTGAAGATGTATTTAGGGCACTGAGTTGTAGTTAAGGAGGTGCAGAGGACAAAGACTAGGTCACAGCTGAAACGCAGTTCTTTCCAAAATGCCAAGAATGTGAGAGAAATGTCTGAGCCCATACTTAAATAGGCAAATAGGATAGGACAGCCCCAAAGCCTGCAAGCTGAGTAGGAGGAAGATGTGGAAGCCAAAGGTGTCCTGGGCAGAGCTAACCCTTACAAGGGATCTGAGCTCCTGGGTCTTGGTGTGGTTTCTTGAGGAAGCAGAGCCTGAGGCAAGGATTCTAGGGATAACTTATTTGGAAAGTCAGGGAGCAGCTTCAGGGAGTAGGGAAGTGGCCCACTGCAGGGAAGATGGTCTAGACCAGTAAAGGTATGATATGAGCAAACCACCACTGGATCCCATACTAAGAGGAATTCTTAAAAAATGATGTGAAACACACACCTCAGAGACCATCTCATTCAAGGGATGAGTAGCTGTAATCTTTGTAACAATTCCCAGGGGTCGTCAAGAGCTGCTTCCCAAGGTTCGTCTTCCAGCTCTTCCCATTTGCCATCCTCATAAAGGGGGCAGAATACCTTCCCTCCACACAGAGATGGGACACTAGGCATGCAAAGCTACAGTACAGCACAGCTATTTCATTGAGCGTTTGGGGGAGCATTTGTAACACCCACCCAAAGTGTGTGGGCAGTGCCTGAACTCCCACAAGATGCCAGACCTGCCAAGAGAAGCAAGGTGGTCCAGGTCAGCAACATCCAACTTACAGACTGGAGTTCCCTTGGGTTCATCTGAACCGAACATGAGCTCAACATCAAAAAGGAGCAAGTGTCCCAAGGAAGCAAGCCTCCAAGATCACACGCAGCAGAAGCTAGGGCAAGGCACTTATTTAAGTATGCATAAACTCCAAATTAGAGAGATCAAATATAGAATTAATATAGAAAATGCAGAATACAAAATAAATATTTAATATGTTTAAGATATATTAAAAGGAGTAAGACATTTTATCTGAAAAAAAGTAAAACCTTTAGAAATGAACTTTCCATTGTAATTAGAAACCTTGAAGGAATTATGTTATGTGAAAGAAACCAATCCCCCCAAAAAGAAAAATATATATATAATATATATACATATATTGTATATATATATTACATCCTTTTGTTATAGTGAAATGTTCAGAATTGAAAAATCCAATAGAAATAGATTAGTGGCACCTGGTACTTGGTGAGGACAGAATAGAGAGCACCTGCTAGTGGGCACTGTTAATAAATGAAGTGGTAAAAACTTCTCATTCAAGAATGATGAAAATGCGCTAAGGAGGGTAGTGTGGCACAGACCTGTAATCCCAGCTACTTGAGAGGCTGTGGATGGAGTACTGCAACTTCAAGGCCACAATGGGCAATTTAGCCAGACCCTATCACTGAATAAATAAAAGAAAGTGGTAGAACACTTAGCTAACGTGAACAAGGTGCAATTCCCAATGCCACCAGCAAATGTTAAAAAAATGGATGGTGGGGGAAGGGCAGGAGACTTGCCGTGAGCTCCAGCCCAGCCTTGCTCAATGAGCCCAAGGCCATCCTGAGCTACACAGTGAGACTCTGTCAAAAAAAAAAAAAAAAAAGAGGGTGGTCATGGTACCATAACTTCGCAAATATACTAAAACCTACTGGATTATATTCCCTGAGTGACTTTTATGTGACTTATATTATAACTATGAATGATAACTTAATAAAGATATTGTTTTAAAAAAAAAGCCAGAGACTGGGCATGGTGGCGAGCGCCTGTAAGCCCAGCTCTCGAAAGGCTGTAAACAGGTGGATCACTACGAGTCTGATCTAGTAGTGAGACGCTGAACACCCTGTAGACCCTTCCCTAAAATACAAAATAAATAAATAAATAAGACTTTAGCAGATATGTTAGACAGAAAATCAGACCCAACTAAAGAGAGAGTTTGTGAACTGGAAAATATGTCCAAAGAAATTATTATGAATACAGTAGCACAGATCTAGAGAGAGGTAGCTCATTTGTAGTGTCTGTGGCTAGCATGTGCAAGACCGCATGTCTGATCTCCAGCACCTCACTATCACACACAGATATATATAGATATATAGATATATAGATATATAGATATATAGATATACACACACAGAAAAAGAATATACCACAAAAAAATAAGAAGTTAGAAAATGTAAAAGAGACATAAAAGCCTGCAAAGAATGCTTTTAATAGAAGCCTGCCTGAAGGAAAGAATCAGTGTTTAGGTACATCATAGTGGTGAATACTTCAGAACTGGTAAAAGCTAAGTGGTCACAGAAAACACAACAAGTACTAACCAGAATAATAAAGATAAACCTTAGATCCAGGTAAAACAGTGAGACTTCAGGCCACCCAGAACAATAGAAGATCATTAAAAAAGCCCACCCACCAAAAAGCCTAACGTTAGGGAAACAGCAATTACATGCAAGGCACAATTTCAACAGCAACAAGGAAAGCCAAAGAATGAAATAATATCTTTTAAAGTTCTCAGAGAAAAACGATTTCCCAACTAAGAATTTGTACACCATTTTGCAGAAGTAAATACAAAATAAATGTTTCAGACAATTAGAAGTCCAGAAAACAACTCAGTAGCAAGAAAACAAATAGATTGTTAGCAGAAAGTTTACCAAACATGGGAAAAGAAACTAACGTACAGTTAAGTGAGGCATATTGAACTCCAGCTAGCCATAATCAAAATATCTTTACCCAGACACATTAATAATCAAGATCCCAGAAATTAAGCAAAAAAAAACAGAATATTAAAAGCTGTTAGAGAGAAGAAGCAGATCTCCTATATTGGAAAGCCCATTAGAATTATAGCAGAAGGGGTTAGGGACATGGCTCAGCAGAATAAGCCCTTGCCTGGCAAGTGAAAGGGCCTGAGCAATCCCTGGTTCCGCCAAAAAAACAAACAAACAAACAACAACAAAAAAGAACCATGTCAGATTTCTCAACATAGACCATCTAATCAAGAAAAGTTTGGAGTGGGATATTTTAGGTCCTGAAAGAAAACAACTTTCAACCCAGATGGATGTACCTTACAAAACTATATATCAAATTTAATGGAGAGATAAGGTACTTCTATGACAAAGAACAGCTGAAGAAGTTCATAACAACCAAACCAGCCC